GCGCCGCCCTATCTGCACCATCCCTCACAGGTGGCCCCCTCAGGCGTGCCGATTTACTCGCCGTCTGTCTGTCCGCTCCCCAGCAGCGCCACCCTGAGACCCGCTCGGTCGCTGGCCCTCTGTCCGGACGCCAGGCGGACTGCGGCAGGTCGGCCGGTCCGCGCCCGTTCCTCACCCGATGGCACCTTAATTCGTCGGCGGGCTAACTCGGCATTTCAACAAGTATCCTCCTTTCAATTAACGAGCGCGCGGATGAAGGTCCTAGCATGTGGCGCGCGGGAGCCGGGCAAATTATGTCGCCGGTGTGATGGAATCGGGGCGTGCAGTGTCGAGCCGGCCACCTCGCCCTCCAGATGCCGCGGAAGCGGGCATGATTGCTGCACATGCGACGAACAAAGGAGGCCTTGTTGGCCGACTGTTGGCCGCACTCAGCGGGCATGTAAATGTCCTGATGATAATCAGCGTGCAGTCCGAACGGCCGGCTGCGCCTGGCATGCTCCTTCTCGTCCTAATCCGCCGTTTTGGAATCATGGGGCCGCCTTTGTTCGTCGCGAGCGCTCGTTATATTTTGCTCACGTTCTTCGCTGGTTGTGTAATGGACATGCAATGGGCAACGCACCTCGCGTCATAAGCAAGTTGTTTTTGCCTACGACAACCAGCCAACCGGTGGCGTGTTTTTCTGTTCAGTTTGGGCGAAGGCTCCAGCCGCCCAATTTTGGGGGAAGGTGGGTCAAATCTGGTGAGAATTCGCTTTTAGTGCATTTTTTGGCTCAGCGATTATCCCTGCTCGCTCTCCAGTAACTTATTTTGCAAAACTACACCCCTGCAATTGGTAATCTAATGCAGCTCCAGCTTTATTTTGCATCCTTTCATAGTTCGCGTGCTCACGCTTGACGCGTTATGTTAATGGTGTCAGCAAACCCCGTACAATTGCTTCGTTGGCATTGGCTTTGGAAACGCACGCATTGTTGTTCCTTATTTGCATGCACGCATTTAGGCTGATCCATCCTGAGCATAGCGTGTACACATGCCAGCAATTAGCTGTACATCCCTTAGATCATTAGATCAGCATGGCTCGCCTGAAACGAACAGCGATGCACCCATCTCTCTTTCCGTGCTGTCCTTACTCAAGCAGGCAATGCTACACAGGCGGAATGTCTACCATAAAACACCGGGATCTGCGTCTTGAGACGAGTCAGGATGCAAACGTACCAGCACTCGAGATGGTTGACCTGAGCAGGGAGCACGCCTTTGCTGGTCTCATGCCATCAACTTCGGATGTCTATCTCACATATAAAATACATTGAAATTACGACGCCTGCCTCACACGTGCCCCAACACCACCAGCGTGCCGCAGTTCCGGGGAGGGGGAGGGGACCGCAGCGACACCTCCATAGTCAGGTCGGTCCAAAAGCAGGCCTCCCCCTCCCCTGGTGACGGTGACCTCCGTGTCACACCCCGGCGGGCCGCCGAGACAATGCGCCAAACAGGTCACAAAAAGCCCGATAGCGATCAGTCCCGCCGCCAGGGCACGCGACAACGAAATGGTTTTACTCACGCGCGGTGAAGACGCGCGTGCGCGCGTTTTTTGGCGGCCTCGCGCCCGTGGGGCGCGCGCAGCCCGGCCGCGCCGCCGCGCCGCCAGGGGCGGCCGGCCGGCGCAGAGTGTGGCTGCAGCGGGGCTGTGCGCCGCCGCCGCCGCCCCCGTCGGCCACCTCTCACTCTGCGCCCGCCCCTGTCAAAGTCACCAGCTAATTTACGGCCGGCACTGCTTATCGTCTGCGGTAATTCGAGATTTATCACTTCGACGTCGTGTAAATCGTGCTGATGTGCCGATGAAAAATCGTCACAATTAGTGATTCGCTTTGGATACGGGCGCGGCAGTAATGGAGGATGGTGGTGACGGGAGCCGTCTCCGGCACCAGCGCCGAGCGAGCAAGGAGCGAACGTGTCGGCCAAGGCGCTGTTTCCTTCGACCTGGAGCCGTGCTCATGAAGAGAAACTACAACTTGCAGCGTCGTTAAATGGCGACGTGTTAGCGTGCAAATCTGACACACCAGCTTTGCTTGGGATTTTAGCTTTTTAGTCATCGATGCATGGGAGAAGCTGGGGAAGCTGAGCACTATCTTGCACCTCCGTATGCGGTGCGGTTTAAAGACTGCTGTTTGTTGTTTCGCCTCCTAAAAATGACTTTAGGCCAGCGCGGGCACTGTGGCGATTTTCACGGATTTGGTGGCGTTTCCGTCATCAATGTTCTCGAAGTGCGTTGCAGTTTGGCGTGAGGTGTGAGTGATGGGAAGATAAGAGACGGCGAAATGAAGAGAAGAACAGGGTGAGAGGGAGAAAGATTGGGGGAGTGACAAGGAGGAGAGAGAGAGAGAGAGAGAGAGAGAGAGAGAGAGAGAGAGAGAGAGAGAGAGAGAGAGAGAGAGAGAGAGAGAGAGAGGAGAGAGAGACAGAGACAGAGAGACAGAGAGACAGAGAGACAGAGAGACAGAGAGACAGAGAGACAGAGAGACAGAGACAGAGACAGAGACAGAGACAGAGACAGAGACAGAGACAGAGACAGAGAGAGAGAGAGAGAGAGAGAGAGAGAGAGAGAGAGAGAGAGAGAGAGAGAGAGAGAGAGGGCACGGACAGGAGATAGAAAGCGGTGCAGATAGTGCAGATAATGCAGATAAAGTTGTATCCGGTCCTGCTGCCGTCTTGCAGATATCTCCACCACGGGACCGTTAAAGCTGTACGAGGCCGTTACAGTCAGCGCACGAGGTCCACTGACTCAGACGGTGGCCATAACGGACAAGGGGACACTTGCTGAGGTGCCTCCTGGCTGCTACCCATCTCGTGCGAATGTGCTGCACATAGCGGTTATGGCGCTATAACTTACTCTGTGTTTTGATAACATTTAACGCTTAATTTCGCGCGCTGCCAGTCTGCTTCGCGTTTCTTATCGACCCCGAATTAGCATTACTTATGCAAATACAATGCGACCTGTCGCCGCAGCAATTTATGAACAATCAGCGCTCGCGTCGCTCGGTCGCACTCACCCGTACACGCCTTATTTATGGCGCTAGCTAATTGATTTCTACTGTTAAAGTGTTGACCAAATTTATTATCTAGACTGCGGCGCCGTCACGTGACAATCAGGCCGGCGTCTGCATACACCACGTGACCCCTGCGGAGTCGGTGGGAGACCGCGAGTTTTTGTCGCGCCCGGCACCGTTGTGTCCTCGCGCTCGGCGAGGCCTGGCCGCCGGTCGAAGCGGCCGCCAAGCGTTTCACCACCGCGGGTAATCTGGGGCAGGGGTGTAAGAGACTATGGTGGCGTATAGGAGTCTAGGGTGATCGCGCCGGAACCACGACGCAAGTCATGGGAAGGGGGGGGGGGGGCGACGGGCTGACCGAGTAGGTGCCAAAACGGCGTGGATGCGAGGAGAGCTCAAAGCCAGACGGTTCATCGCCATGCGAAGGGTCGGAAAGCCAACTCCTCGCAATCGTGACGCGCCGGGGGCGGTACAGCGCGCTTCCCGGCGCGCCAGAGGTGGCGGTCCGGCGCGCTGCCCCGGCGGTGGGCCCTGCGGGGTCAGGCACCGCCGCCGGCCCGCTGCTGCCGTTGACCCCGGGTCGGCGGTGCGGGCCGCTCGGGTGACCCGGGGCGACGCGGGCTCATTTCACGGACGTCGCTGGCGCCGTCTGGGAGAGACACGGCTTCGCTCCCGTGTGTAACCCAATTAGCCGCTTTGAAGGACGCGCTGTAATAGAAAAAAGGGTTCGAACAATGAAAGACAATTTGGTCACATGGCCGCGACAGCGCGGCTTAAATACGTATCGATAAAAACTGTACAAAAAGTCAGATAACGACTTAATTATGACCGATAATGAAAAGTGGGGAGGGGAGAACATGATGTGGTCATTTATCCGTTGCTGTGGATGGCGCAGACAGGCGTCAGACTAGGAACGAACCAGCCCTGTGCCCGCCCAGTATAGCCCCGTTCAGTCCCCCCGAGCAGCCCCGCAGTAAACCGTAATGCAGATAGACAATGGGCGAACTGTAAAAGATTATTACCATTCATAAAACTGCATCAAACTGTAAGTGGCCACTGCACTTCGGTTTCCTTGGAGCGCAGCGTTGATTTATGCGGGGCTGTTTACCATGCTGCTATTGCACTCCGCCTTAATGACCATACAGTATGCAGAAAGAACTAGCAATGTGCATTTCCCTAATTAGCCTGTAATGGCAGGATAAGCGCACTTGCCGATGCTTTTGAAAAACGCTTGCAAGTTATTAGCCTGAGAATGGTAGTTAGCACTTGCAAAGATTGCATTCAGTAGTATAACCCCGCTTGTCCTCTGCGTTTACATCATTACGCGACTGGCTAGGGCTGGGCCGTACCGCCCATTAGAGTAACGAGGCGCCAACTGCACCCAGCAGGAGGCGCAGAATGCGTTTGCGCTCGATTAAGCAAGGCGTGATCACTTTCCAGGTTAGCGCCGTTTGGATGTGACAAAACGGTGATTGAAGGACGGACGAGGCTCGAAACTAGGGAGTGCCGTGCTGTAACCGTTGCCAGGGCGCACGCGCTCCGATGAGGCGTTTCGACGGCTGGGCGTTTAAATCGAGAGCCCGACGATAGCACCGCTCTGGTGTCATTGAAAAGTGCTTATTTCAGGGAACTTTTCAGCTTTCGGGCATCAAGTACTGAGTGTCTCGGTCTCAAGAAAGCGGTACTAATCCGGACACTATTGTGCCCGCGTTAAAACCCAGCGGTGAGCGGTATTGTGACGAGCACCTCGGCGGCTTGCATGCTTGGTTGCACAACCAGATGCCAATGCTCATGTCTCGCCGGGATTAGCCAGCCAACAAAAATAGACGCCACGATGGGCCAACCACCCAAGGGTTAATCAGCGCCTCTGTGCAACCACATGTGAAAAGAGCTAGCCTCCACTGAGGCTGCTCTGCGACCCGCCGTTCCGCTGACCGCCGTCTTCCGCCGTTACAGGTCTGGTTCCAGAACCGGCGCGCCAAGTGGCGCAAGCAGGAGAAGGTGGGGCCGCAGGCGCACCCGTACAACCCGTACCAGACGCCGCTGGCAATGCCGTCGAGCGCACCGTCCATCTCGCCGCTGCAGCCGCCCTTCTCGCACCTCAGCTACCTGCGCAAGCCCTTCGAGTCGCCGTTCCTGGGCGGCTCGCCGCGCCTCTCGGGCGGCCTGCTGCCGGCCGGCCTGCTACCCGCGGGCTACCTGGGCCACCCGCTGACCGCCCTGCGCGACTACCGCGCCGTGCTGCCGCCGCTGGTGCCGTTCGGCAGCCCGTACTCGCCCACCTTCCAGAGCCTGCTGGCCAACCTGTCGGCGCACCGGCCGCCGCTCGACTCGCCCGAGTACAAGGCGCTGCTGTCCAACATGGCGCTACCGTCGGCGCCGCTGCCGCCGTCCAGCGGCGCGCCGAGCGCGCTGCCGCCGCCGCCGCCGCCGCCGCCGCCGCCGCCGCCGCCGCCGGCCGCCGCGCCCAGCCTCTCGCCCGGTAGCCCAGAGTTGCGCACGTCCAGCATCGCGGCGCTGCGGCTGAAGGCGCGCGAGCACGAGATGCGGCTGGAGCTGCTGCGGAAGAACGGCGACCTCTGCAGTTAGGCGGCGCGCCGCGCCCGGTGATAGGCACGCGCGCCGCCCGCGCGGCGCGCGTGCCGTTGTTCTGTTCCTGCCGGCCGCGTGGACGCCAGGCCGCCCGCCGGCGGCAGCGGCTGTTGTTTTGAGCGCGGGGCTTGGTGGGCGTTTGAGGCTTCGAGTGCGGGTGTCTGCGCCGCGCGGCGGCGGCAAATCGAGTGTGACTGACGCACAACACGGCCGCGATGGGATCACGTGACGGCCCGGGGTCGCGTGACGGCGCTGGAGTGTCACGTGATGCGCCGGACCGGGCGGAGCACCCCTGAGGGGCGGCTGGAAGCCGGACGGCTCTATAGTCACCGCAAGTATTACGCTGTAACAGTATTTGCGACGCCGTTCGAATTTAACTCGATGTGCCTTGAATGTGAATGTGACTGGGTGTGTAGTGCCGAGAGGTGTCAGGTAGGCCCAAAAGTTTTTGTTGCGTTTTGGTAGGTAAGTACTTAATAGGACAATTTGTGTGAGTGGAAGAGTGTGCTGAATATAACGCACGCTGCTTAGTTTTCTGGCAAAATACGTGTGCCAGTATTGCACAAGGAAAATGCGAGTTTTGCAGTCTACAACGATCAACAGTTGTCCATTATTTGGGTCTATGCGTCGGCGTGTGTTCAGCATTTTGCTATTCAAATAGAGCTAGAGCTACTGTTTTGAGCACAAATGCCTTTATTGGATTCGTCTTGTTCGATTCTGGTATCACCGGCTACTTAGCTGGAGTTCGTTTTTCGGTGTTAAACTATGTCCACGTTTTGTGCGTTTTTTGGAGGGAGTATCTCTCCATGTGTAACGTGTAACCACTACTGGGTATTGTGTGAGCCACTAGACCGAAGCGTTCATGGCCGTGCTAATCTTACCAAAGCTTGCTGTATAAAGTGTTTCATTAAGTTGATATAATAAAGCTGTTGACAAAATGAAAGCGCGAGCGTTTTCGGCGCGGATGGTGGGTTAGAGGTGTGTTCTTCGCTGCAGTTACTCGAGGGTCGAAGCTGCACTCGGCAGTTACCAGCCCTTTGCTCTCGAGGCTTCTTGATACTGTACTGTGCTCTGATGCAGTCTTTCATCTCCGGACAGTGCTGCGTTTCTAGTTGGTTACAATGCGTTGAAATCGCCAACCAGCAATCTGCTTCTACGCGACCGAAGGAGAAAAAGGAAAACAAGAATGAGCCATCTTTCGATTTTGAAATAAGATGACTGATGCGGCTATCCACGAAGCTTTCAATCTCGCCGATGAATACGGACAGGCCGAAACACATGCGTTGATGCGTTTTGAGCCCACGTCGTCCCGCTCCTGAGAGCTGGCACCATGCTGCTGAAATGTGAATTGTTAGCAATCATCCACAAGCGTATATTTGGGAGCTCTCGGGTGTTTGAATAGCTACAAAGACGACAGGAGCACAATCAATACGAGACTTTTTTAGTGAAAGTGGCTCATGCATACAATAGTTAACATGCGTTGTGAAATTAAAGATGGGAATGACGATAGGGCGCGTTCAACCCGTCTGCGGTGGAGCTTTCACTTGTTGTATTGACTTATTCCATTTGTTAAAACATTTAAGAGAACTTATGACCTGAAGGCAGACAGCAACTAAACAATCATATCCACATCACACCCGCCCCCTGGCTCTGTTGAACGGATTCTCTCCCAGCCATGCCTGGCGACGCCCCTGCTGGTCAGGCCGGCCCTCAACCGTGCCTGGCGACGCCCCTGCTGGCCAGGCCGGCACCCGGAGCCGGTCCCTGTGCGTGCAGTGTTTTTACAGAGCCTATCCGATTATCGGCGATTCCGTCCGGGAGGAAATAAAACGATTTGCCGACTATAATTGCGGCATTAATGGGATCGGGCCGCCGGAGCCCGGGATGAGCGCCTTCGCCGGGCCGGGCCCCCCAAACCCCTCCCCCCTGTCACGAGCGGTCACCTGTGCGTCGGGTATTGATCGCCGCCCCCGCGCCCGCCCCCGCCCGTCATTATAGCGTGTAGTTTACAGTGGAGGATTGAATACGGGCAATCATCGAGCCAGGGACCGCCCTTGGCTTTGTTGTTGCCCGTGAGTGGAGGGTAATTAACGGTTCTGTTGTCCTGAAGTGTTGATATGGTTGTGAATCTGCATTGATTCTTGGTGGACAAAGGAAAGGCTAACATTGTTAAACCGCAGCCGAGGTATTTACCAAGAAGTGTTGTTTGTATATGTCACGTTGTTTGCGTGATAATTACTCACCTTTTAATTGAAGACACATGTCGCCTCCGAGTAACTGTTAATCTCGCACCACAACGTCGTCACTATCCTGAAATATGCTCTGGCATATCACTAGTCGATAAGACGAGCTCAATGCAATAATTGTCACCTCCGTTTATTCGAGTTGCTTCTCTCATCCGTGTCCTCGCGTTTCCTTTGCTGTTCGCCTTTCCGAAGATTGCGCCGTGCTCTGATGAAGGCCCTCAGCGCGCAGCATACCGGCGCCAAAACCCGCGCGGCACCGTTACCAAACCCGGCGATTACCGCTGCCCTGATCTCGGCGTCGCGTCGGGCTTCATTACGGGGCCGAGCCGGGCCGAGCCGGCGCTGCGCCCAGTGACGGCCGCCGGCTCCCGCCAAATCTCCGGACGCCGCCCCGAGCGCGCGCTGACGCGGTGCCCGTCCCGGACCGTTGCCGAAGGCCGCGCCGCCGTTTTCGGACTCCCGCCCCTTTAATGGGCTCTTGTGTAATCCTATTAGAGCTCTGTGAGCATTTTCGGCTTCATTAATTTCCTCCCCAAATCCTTTCTGGGCCGTCCGGGCTCGCTTTGTGGCTGACAGCGGGGTGCCTCCCGCTAATACCGAGCCGTAATTAGGAGGCGACTCCTCGTCGCCGCAGCTCCATCATAATATTAAATTAAATGGTAAAATATTGATGCACTGTAATTGAACTGATGAAGATACTACGCCACGCTAAGCCGAACTGCGGCCGGCCGGCGGAGATGCTTACGGAGAGTTACGGGCCGCAAGCGCCGTATCTCCCGTCAAATGATACCACCCTGACTGTATCGGTCGGCGCCGGGCGCATCGCCGGGGTCGGTCCGGCTACACGGCGGTACAATTACCGCGCTTACGAGCCGTTTATTGAAAGTGGATAAACGGTCGCCTTGCTGGGAAGCTAGTAGTGGGATGCTGATAAGCGGTGCGTCCAATCAAGCGACAAGAATTATTAGAGAAGCACAAGAGAGAGCTACCAAGCTGGACGAGGCGTGGCAGGTTACTTTGCTGGAGATGGAGTAGCTTTGAGTAGAGTTGATAGAGTAGAGTAGTAGAGTAGTAGAGCTTGGAGATGGAGTAGCTAGCACTTGCTCTGTGCTTGTCAACATCTGCCAAAGTGGTGATTCACTTCATCGTCCAACGAACCCCTCCCACATCAGCGCAATCAGCCGCTCCAGTCATTTGATGCTGCTGACTGCTCACAAACAGGGTCTGAAGATCAGCTCCACCTGAACCTCCTTGAAGACCTGCCGGACGATCAGCGCCGTCAGACGACGCTACGAGCTTCGCCTTCCAGCGGACGGCAGTGGGACGCTCCCAGTACCGGGCAACAGCGGGTCAAATTCATTCTCTGTCCCGCGACTCCCAAGGTACGTAAATCAAGAAGCAGCGACCAAGTCGTATTGTACGCTATCCGCGGCAGGAGGGGCCTAGCCTCCTCCGGTCCGCCGCGTCTTCCCGCACCTGTTCGGTCCCGCGGCGCGACACCCGAGAGGGCGGGCAGCAGTGCGGTGCACAGCGCCCAGCCGCCGGCTCCGCTGGTGGCTCCGACAACTACGGCGTCGACTCCGCTGGCTCCCGTGGCGTCTCCAGAGGCTCCGATGGCATCTCCGGCGGCCCGTCTCCACCGGCTCCGGTCGCATCTCCGGCGGCCCGTCTCCACCGGCTCCGGTGGCATCTCCGGCGGCCCGTCTCCACCAGCTCCGGTGGCATCTCCGGCGGCCCGTCCCCACCGGCTCCGGAAGCATCTCCGGCGGACCGTCTCCACCGGCTCCGGTGGCATCTCCGGCGGCCCGTCTCCACCAGCTCCGGTGGCATCTCCGGCGGCCCGTCTCTGGCGGCCCGATGCGGCCAATTAGCGGGGTCGGCGGCGATCGCAGAGGCGAGGCCATGATTCGAGCCGGCGGGGGGCGCCGCGCCGGCCGCCGCGCCACAATCACCCGGCCCGGCCCCCGCCGCGCCACAAAGCGCGCCGCAGCTAGCATTAAACCGGGTTACCCGGCCCCCGCCGACTTACATGCATTTAATTTAGACGAAACAAACCGTAAAATGCGCCGCGGGGACCGACGCGGGCGGCGGCCGCGGCGGGCTCGCGGCGAAATCGGCGCGCGCAAATGATGCACGCGCGTGGGAGGAACGCCGGGCGGATGAAATCCCGGACGCGTCACGAGCGTGGCTTTTTGCACGAGTCACGAGTGACTGCACGCCCCTATCGATGCTCTCATAGACGGACGATGTGTGTGCTCAGAACCGGAGATTGTCGGGGCCGACCGCGGCTCGTGCGGCTTAGCATAATGTTGCGGCCTCAGCCGGCGGCTCTGTTCGAGCGTTTGTTTCTGGCGTCCTGTCGATAGCGCCTACAGCACAGGTGGGTCCAGGACGCAGACAACACTGCCCCGGTATGACGTCGTGATCTTGAGTTCAATCGATACTGTAGGTAAACACAGCTCGTTATGGGACAGGCCGCTCCATGCCAGATGCTTGCATGGAAAGCTTGCCTCGTCGCACAGCTGCCTACGAAATTTCGCATTCATAATAACCGTGTTTACAACTTTCGCACACGAAAGTTATAAACAAGTTGCAAACAATTTTGGTTGTAAAATGTCGCATATACGATTTTTCGTATTGTGTTGCTCTGTGCACGCATTTTCCGCAAGCGCATGACTTTTCTCTACATAATCACTTGCACCACATTTGTTCATGCCCGTTCCCTCAGTCCCGCGTTTCTTAGTATGGCGGTTTTTCGTATCCCACATCTTGGCACGAGCAATTCTTCACATTGCATTTCTTTACATACACAGCTCCAGAGGAGGCTTTCGCAATGTTTTGAGATATTAAGAAGCAAAGTTACGGCACAGAGTCCCTGTCATGGCCTTAAGGACTACCCTGTTAGGGGAGAGAACAGGCGCTGGCTTTAACCAAGACTGATAGACGTCCCAACCTCACATGTGCCTACTGGACGACAGATTCCTGCTAGCGTATTAACGCACGCATGTTGCTGAGGAAACTGTAGCTCGGCAAACTTCGGTGGGGACACTGGAGCACGTTTGCAACATGGATCTTGGATGGTTGCCGTGCTTGACTCAAAAGGAGGACCCTGAATTACAGAGAGGAGACCCGGGATTTCTTGGCATCATCGACTTACGCGTTCGCCTTGTTGACAGCGCAGGAGCATCGCTGGCAGCATCACTGCCGAAGCAAGGCTTGCCGAAGCCCAGCGCCTCACGGTCGATGAGAAAGAGTCGCGGATGCCCGTGGTGCAGAACGTGCTGCATGCCTTACAACCGAACTTGCACCCTGCGCTGAGCCTGGTCAGGGCACCGCACTACTGGACCACGCTCGTCACTGTCGCATCATGATTTGATTCACATCTTGCGCAGTGGCTTGGACCAGGGGGACCGGAGTGAGGTGGAGGCGAGGAGGGGGGGAGGGAGGCTGTCAAGGCCGAGAGGGATCTGGAGCTTTTGAAAAGTCATTTGGGGCATATCAGGACTTGATATCAGTTCTTTTTACACATCAGCCTAAGTTCAAGTTCAGGCACATTACAGCAGTTGAGCCGCTTAAAACACCTCAAAAGTCCCACACATGGCTCACGCCCACCGAGCGTCGAAGCCGCCACAGGGATCGAACGATGCCGGAGTCGTCAGCCGGGGCCGGCGCCTGTCGAAGC